TGTATTTTATCAACAACATGTTCATCATGAAACTATCAGTGTGTTTGCAGTCAGAGACAGTTCCCTCTGATTTTACAGAGAGCTGACACTTGACCTCTTCATTTACATGGAGCTATAAATAAGGAGAGGAGGCCTGCAGGTGCATCCTGGGAAGGACCAGAGGGAGGAGTAGAGAGGTGATGCTTCACTGATGGAGGATGAAAACTCTGTTTCATTTGCTCATTTTATCTGATTGTCTTAACGACTGCAAGCAACTAAAACCAGGCAAAGTCATGTTAATCTCTCTGTTGTGATTTTATTAGATATTAAGACTTGATAAAAATGTTGCTTGATGAATTTGAACATAAATATTCAGGAAAGAAATATGATGAGCAGACGGGCAGCAGAGTTCTGGATGTGTTGGGGTTTGTTTAGAAGTTTGGATGGTTTTCCATAAAGAATGCTGTTACAGTGGTCAATTCTGGATGTGACAAAGGCATGGATGAGAGTTTCAGCAGCAGTGGGGGAGAGTGATGGGTGGATAGGTGGAAGAAGGTGGTACTGGTGATGTGATTGACGTGTTTTTCAAAAGAGAGATTGTTGTCGAAAATGACTCAGAGGTTGCTGATGTGTGGAGAGGAATGCAGAGTGGAATTGTCAATGGTGAGACAGAAGTTGTGAGAGGTTTTGGTGAGGGATATGGTGCCGATGATGATCATGTCTAATCTTTCACAGTTCAGTCTGAGAAAGTTTGCTTGCATCCAGGACTTGATGTTGTTGAGGCAGGTGGTCAGAGTGTCTGAGTTTCAGTGGTGATAGATGTAGTGGAGATGTAGAGCTGGATGTCATCAGCGTAGCAGTGGAAGTTGAGACCATAGCTGCGAATGAGTTTGCCAAGGGGGAACATGTAAAGGATGAATAGGAGGGGACCAAGCACCGAACCCTGGGGGACGCCTTGGGACAGAGGGGCAAGGGAGGAAGTGCAGTTGTTAATACTGATGAACAGATGTCGGTTTGTGAGGTATGACCTTAGCCAGGAAAGGGCAGTACCAGTGACACTGAGGGAAGATTCGAGACGGGAAATGAGAATTGCGTGGTTGATTGTGTCAAAGGCTGCTGTGAGGACAAGAAGGATGAGAACTGAGAGGTGACCAGAGTCTGAGGAGAGGGGGAGATCATTGGTGATTTTGAGGAGGGCGGTTACTGTGCTGTGCTGTGAGCGGAAGGCAGATTGAAATGGTTCAATCACATAGGAGGCGAGTATGTCATTGTAGTAGCTGACAAGGTTGGAGGGATTAACATACAGTGGGGGAGGGGAGACAGACATTACACTAGCAAGAGAGGCTGAGAAAGCTGAGTGGGAGATGGGCTTCAGAGTTCTAAAATATATTTTGCGTTTTTCTTTTGGGGTAGGGATGTCAGTGTCCAAGGTGATTGCCAAGTGGTCCGACATATGCAGGTTGAGGCTGGCGAGGTGATGTATTGTAAGACCAATGAAGCAAACCAAGCCCAGAATGTGACCGCGACTGTGGGTGGGGAAGTTGACATGTTGTGTGAAGCTGAGGGTTTGCAGCAGTCCCAGGAAATTCCTGGCAGATTTACAGTTAATGTTGTCAATGTGGAAATAGGAATCACAGAGGAGGAGAATGGAAGGTGAGATGGCACATAGCTGGGTCAAAAAAATCAGAGAAGTCAGATAGAAAAGAGGGGTTTTGCTTTGGGGGGCAGTAGATAATGGCTGTGACTAAAGGAGTAGGACCAGAGAGTTTGATCTGCGATGTATTCCAGCTTTTATTAGAATGTCCATGCAGTCCAGACGCTGGTGGTTGTTGTAGTGTTGAAGTTCTGTGGCAGAGTTCAGCAGCAACATGGTCAAGTCAGTGAACGCTAGCCTTGTGCCAGCCGGGAGCCAGGTATTGAGGAAAGGAGAAGCGACGTGCACCCCAAGACCATCTACAGGGTAATTTTGTGTTTAAATAGACCACAGTATATGCTGCAATGAGACATAAGTACACAGCTGGTTTCTGTGAAAAAGTTCAAAGTTTATATAACATTACAATTTATATATTTAGAGTATTCTACTACTTCTACTCTTGTTTTCCACATGAGGAAGTTCAGAGTGGCACTGTTAAATATTAATGGTTTTATGAATCATGATGTACCAGAGACTCAGAAAGAGGAACTATTAAGTGAGGAGGTTTTTGTCACAGTGTAAATCACTGTGATACATCCTCCTTAGCAGAGTCATCCCATCGGTGACAGTAATAGACTGCTGAGTCTCCCTCCTCCACATTTCTGATAATCAAACGATAATTTGATGTTGACTGACTAGTAGATGTGAACTTGGGAGAGGAGAAACCAGAGCCATACTTTGGAGAGCTCCAACTACGATCAAACACCAGGACAAACTGAGGGACTCCTCCTGGAATCTGTTTATACCAGCGAGCACCATCTAAAGGAGCATTACACTCTAAGTTGGCTGACTCTCCTTTCCTCAGCGTCACAACAGGAGGCTTCTGTGTCACCACCGTCACACCACTCACACCTGGAAACAACAAGATGACATGGAGTCAAGAGAAACACACAGACTGATGAATCCAACATAAGGTCAAAGCTGCAGTAAGTCAGCCTCCTTACATGTTAGAGCAGTGATGAGAGTGCAGAGGGTCCCCAGCATGTTGTCAGTGTGTGGTGTAAACGTCCCTTACTGTCCAGCTGAGAGGTGAGCAGGGTTGGAGTGTGAGGAGAAGAGAGACAGAAGCTTATAAAGACACTGAGGAGAGGAGAAGTGGAGGAGGAGGAGTTTCACTCAACAGTTTCCTTAGCTCATAAATCAACTACAGCATGTATGGGATCTACATCATAAACTTTTTCATCACTTCTGTTGTTAAACACGTCTTCATATTGCTTTAAGAAATCTTTTTATGTTCTTTAAATACTAAATCCAGCTGTGGTATCAAATTAATTGTGTCTTCTGGTAGTTTCCATAAAGGACTGATCACACCAAATAAATACTCCTTCATGGCTTTCGTTTAATGTTAAATGTGACTTGTCAGGTTCTAAATAAATGCAGCAAACATGAATAAATCTTTGGGAAGACATGGTTTAATTCCAAATGTTTATGTTTACTACACCTTCTCTACTTCATCCTCATTGTTTAAGATGAAAAAATACTGATTCAGTTACAATTATTGCCTTGATGTGTCTGCTGAAGCTCAGATCTGAGTCTATTAAAACACCTAAATTTCGAACTGAGGTTTTGGTCTTTAATTCAATTGATTTAACTGCATCCAGTTTTTTATTTTCTCTAAGCATTCATCAGGTGAGTCAACAACATCATGGTCACTTGGTGGAAGATCTAAATAAATCTGTGTAGCTGTGATAGCAAATGTTATTGTCATGTATGGTTGGATCTAGAGGAGCATGTACAGGTTAAATAACAGCAGCCCAAGAATGGAACCCTGGGGGACTCCAAATGTCTTGCTGATCTGCTCAGATTTATAATAACTGTATTTTACAGTATGTGCAAACAGTATTATATAATAAGCAGGGTGTGGTGTGTGTTTCATTTGTTGGAAACAAATCTTGAATCCCTAAATCTATATGACATGTTGTCAGGTGAATGAAGCATTTTCATTTGTTGTGTTTCAGCTGCACAAGACATCACGTAAGTTTTTGTAACTTTCTGCAGCCAGGTGATCTTTTAACTTTGGATATATGTGTTAGATTAAATCCAAACAAATGTTTGTGTAACAATTATCACAACCTGTGCGACATTATCTGAATTAAGATCAGCAAACTTTCTATAACATGTCGAGTGAGCATGTTATCTGTTTTGTGTCAGCATGTACCCATGACATACTGTATATGACAATCATAAGGAAAGATCTGAAGATTTACGTGAGTAAAATAAAAGGGTTTCAAAGTTTGAAACATAATTTTAATATCTATGTGGGGAAGTTACAAGAAGCATTGACTGATGGCTTCACTGCCAGTCAAGATGTATCAGCAGGTCAAAAAGCAGAAGTAGTTAGTGAGGAGGTTTTTGTCACAGTGTAAATCACTGTGATACGTTCTCTTTAGCAGAGAAATCCCATGTGTAACAGTAATAGACTGCTGAGTCTCCCTCCTCCACATTGTTGATGATCAAACGATAATCTGATTTTGACTGATGAGTTGGGAGAGGAGAAACCAGAGCCATAGCCTGGAGAGCTCCAGGTGTGATAAAAATATAACAAGTACTGAGGAACTCCTCCTGGAATCTGTTTATACCAGAAAGCTGACTGATCAGTAACAGTCCCCAGGTTACAGTCCATGGTGGCTGTCTCTCCTGTCCTCAGCGTCACAACAGGAGGCTTCTGTGTCACCACCGTCACACCACTCACACCTGGAAACAACAAGATGACATGGAGTCAAGAGAAACACACAGACTGATGAATCCAACATGAGGTCAAAGCTGCAGTAAGTCAGCCTCCTTACATGTTAGAGCAGTGATGAGAGTGCAGAGGGTCCCCAGCATGTTGTCAGTGTGTGCTGAGAATGGCCTTGTAACTTGGAAAGTCAGCTTACTGCTGACAGATCAGAGGCTTTGGAGGATGAGGAGAGGAGGTGCTGGAGGAGCAATTTAATAGCACACTGAAACTGAGAGTGACTGACAGGAGGAGGAGCTTTGCTTCAGTCTGCATGCTTTCTCACATTTGCCTCCTGTTTCATTATCCATGTGCTATAATGCCAGGATCAAAAATTATTTTCTTGCAGTTTTAATGGAATAGAATTGTTACTTTGTCCACTTCCCATTAATTGATATTCATGACATGTATTCAAGTTTGGATCAACTTTGAATCTTTATATGTTCTTGCTTGCTTTACACAAACTATCTTTACCTGATTCACAAGTTTTTTTCAAAGGAGAAAATGTGAAACACCAATGCACATGTAAAACTGTAAACAAACAAACAAATACATAATATTTTAATTCACATTTCATATTTTCATTTCCGTTGTGTTTCCAGTCAAGGGCGGTTTTTCTAACCTCTTATCTCATTTACATGCAGCTAAATAAAGACAGGAGGCCTGCAGGTGCATCCTGCTGAAGTGAAATCTAGACCTGCTACTTTTCCCTCTTTTTTTCTTTTTTTATGTGTGTTCAAAAAAGAAAAAAAAACTATTTGAATCAGTTACAGTGCCCTCTGTGCCTTCTAATAGTAAGCGAGTGCTGCACTCTAGTGGGCATTCAACAGAATAACAATTCCCTGTATTTTTCTTTATTTGTTGTTATCAGGTTTTGCAGATTCAACCACACAAAGTCAAACTAAGACATGTATCATTTGTCAAAAGACATGCGGGCAAATATTGTCTCAAAGACTACTTCATTTTATGCAGTTAGGTCATCAATCAAGAATTTGAATACATTTATATATTCCTCAAATTAATCAATCTGCAAGACATACATGGTTGAATGGTACATGTGAACTATCTATAGTATATATAGTATATACTATAGTAGTACTTGGGAATTGTAATTTTTTACTTTGATGCTTGACACTTTGTCTGTGTCTTACTGCTGACAACCAGCAGAGGGCTAATAGGAAGCATTTGTGTGTGTGTGTGTGTGTGTGTGTGTGTGTGTGTGTGTGTGTGTGAGAGAGAGAGGGAGAGAGAGAGAGAGAGAGAGAGTGAGTGGGGAGGAGGAATTTAGGTTTTAATGCAACATAACATAGGCAACACTCACTCTAAATTAGTTTAGCTTAAATTTCTGTCTAAAGAATGCAGACATGATCTAACATATTTGTGGTCTCTTATTATATTTGGAGTCAGTTTGAATGATTGACAAAAAGTTTGCATTAATCTACTGAAACAGAAAATCCATCCAAATAAATAGTCAAGTTTCACAGAACACAAGTCAGTGTGAGATTGGCTACAGCAAATGCAGCACAAGAAGTGCAAGGTACCCTGGGTGCGATGGTTGTTGATGTTCTGGGATACCGTGTCAAGTTCTCTTTATTCAAGATATACTTCTGTTTTCACAGGAAATTTGCTGTTTACATACAGTCTCTTTCAAAATAAATGCACTATGTCAGTAAAACACCCTGAATTGACGTGTTTTTTTTTTCCTTCAACAAACACATCGTTAGGTTTAGGGAAAAAAAGAATGGGGTTTGGCTTTAGAATCTTACGGGACACAAATGCTGCTCTCTCGGGTGAAGGCCGATGTTTATAGGACCCATCCACCACACCTCTCTCCCACCCCACTCAGACTTTTGTCCTTGTCCCACTGTGTTTCCCCCAACACCAGCGGGTGCCATTAAACTCTAACGGTAACCAGCTGTGTATCATGCCAACGTTAGAGGACACCTTTTTTCGTTGGTTTCTGACGCTGCAAGTCACTTTCGAAGACTTTGGGGTGAGACCTTGCTCAAGAGGTGCCAGGTTTCAGGGGCAAGTTAAACAATGCGTTGCCTAATCCAAGTGAAATTCTGCTTCAGAGGCTTTTAGACCCTGACAAGATCGGTTCGCTGATATAACAATGTATACTTACTGTGACCATGTTTAAAGATATTAAACATTGTGCAAAATATTCAATCAGCAGCTTCAGTTCAAGAGAATCTGTATCAGGATGTCTGCATCTGTGTCAAAAACTGAGACATACTGTTGACATTGCACTTACTTTTCTTAAGACATCTCACGCTGTTCATCTGTTTTGTAAAAAGGATAAATGTCTACAAAATGTGCTTGTAATTCTTTACACAAGGGAAAATATTGGAGCTGATGTTACTTATAGGTTATTATGCTATAGTTTTATTGGTCCGGCCCATCTGAGATCAAATTGGGCTGAATGTGGCCTATGGACTACAATACGTTTGACACCCCTGCCCTAGATCATTTGAAAGTGTGCATATAGTACCATAAATATGTGGATTGCAAAATTATCCATGCTGACTGATGCAGCACAGATAATTTGGGCAATGTTTGACAAATCATTTTGTCAAAGTCATGTTTGGTGATGCCTATGCTGCCTGCCTTTCCTCACCTGTCCACTAGTCGCAGTGTTTAATTTTCCCGCCTCTGCCAGTCACCTGTCCATTGGCCACCTTCCTACACAGCTGTCAACCTGCATGTCTCCACCAGTAAGCTTCCCACTGCGTCTCCAAACTGTGCTTAGAAATAAAACTTAACAACTACGAAAGAGCAATCTGGCTATGATGGACTCACTAGAGTCTCTGCAGGCAATGCTGTTCCCAAAATGGGCTGTTTGTGGGCTGGACGCTGGCCCTCTGTGCCCATCATCATCGCCTGCTGGACCTGGTGTTGTTGAGACCTGGTGGGATGCCAGGACAGAAGGTACTGTGGTCCCTGTGTGCTCCCCAAACATACGAGAGTATTTTAGTAATATGTTCTGTTTAAAACAACTTTAAACACATAGCCTACGCACGCGCGCGCGCACGCTCACCAACCAGGATTCCTCTGGAAATGGCTGCGTCAAGCGTGACAGAGAAAGCCGGAGCACTGCGTGGGTTTGTCTTCAAAATAAAAGACAAACATCAGTCTTATGACGCATACATACGTTTTATTTTGAAAGATGTAAACGGAAGTACTTGTATACTTTGTGTGACTTGACACTGGTGCAAGATGTCGCGCATTCTTTCTGTACCGAAGCTGAAACCCAAATGCGCATCGCTGACCGACGCATCTTTTTAAAAAAGAACCAGCTGCTCTCCCTAAAAACGGCATGT